ATATCATTTTATAGAAAATCTAAAATTAATATTAAAAGAAAACCAAATTATGAAATAGGCTGGTTTCATAATTGACCAATGATCATTTCACATAGACTCTATGCCTTTTACTTTACAAACGATGATTTTCCGTTATAACTATAAATCAAATGATGTTTTTTATTCACTTAATTCATTATAAAGTTTATTTAACAGCTTTAAAAAATTCGAAATTGAAATGGATAGTCTAAGGAACATACTGTATTATTGTACTCTACTGCATATAATTTGTGAACATTTACATGATTTGTACACTTTGAACTCCCTTTCAGGCTGAAAGGGACTGAAAAAATTCACACAGAGAGATTCTCTTAATTCCCCTCTAATATATTCTATTCTCTTTGAGTTTATATTTTGTAAAGGATACTTTTCACTTTCCTCTAAACACTAGTGTTCCTTCGGTCAATCTACTGGACGTAACTGCAGTACACACCGAGAGCTTAGTTGAGGGTGTTTTGTTTATTTTCAAATAAGATTTTTGATTCTTTATTAATTTTGTTTCCGTGGATTTACAAAAATTTACGAAAATTAAAAATTATTGAAGACAACTTTTTAAATGCCCGATCGGTTCTTTCGTTTGGACGTTTATTGGATATAAACAGACAGACAAGCCAAATATATATATAACAGACACGGGCAGCCGTAGTACATTTGAATTTCCAATCCGAGTCAACCTTTCCGGTCCCATTTTGTACTGCACCGCACAGACATTTGGTTAAAAAAGTTGACAATCAACAGGGTTAGCCGGTGCAACAAGGTTGACGCGGTCAGACTTTATGCTTCATATATGTTGAATTTATTTTTATTCAAGGGATAAGATTAAATGGATTAAAAGGAACTCAAGACTTGCCACTAACACAAATTGTTATCCCTATTTCTTTGTAACCTGATGGTTAAATCCTTTGTTTTTTCAACTTTTGCTTATTTGATCTAACAAGATTAATAGGTTGAAATATTAAAGGTTACGACAGCAGGTCAGGTTGCAAAGATAAAACTTTAAAGTTCCCATCGATTTAGGATTTAAATCATTCATCTTTCGAATCTAAAGCCTTTGTTGATTTTTAGCGCTATTTCAACCAAAAGTTCCAGTCTCTGGTTTCATTAGTTCTTACTTTGTGTGGCTCACTGGCCCACACACAAGGATTAAAATTCCTCTCTTAAACACTAGACAGAGATCGTGTGTCACAAAATTTATATTTACTATTTAATTAATAAGTTAATGAAATTATAATTTTACTTTTATAACAATATATGTTCAGTCAGACCCTTAAAACATTACAATAGGAAGACGACATTTAAGCATTTTTTTTCTCATTACTTTGTTGTTAATTAATGCAATTAATTTTTCAGCAAATGTGTATAGAGTTTTTATAACATTTACATATAAGAAGTAACCACTTATATATGTAATACTAAAATTATAAAAAAAAAACTTTTAAAAACTTGGACACCCCGCCCGTGTCAGAATGAGTAGGTGATTCATGAAAAAATTAATGTAGGGAAGGATGAATGGAGAAAGAATGAATGAATGAATACAGCACGTGAAAATCAGACCACAGCAAAAAAAAATATAATCCCCCCCTGGTAGAAAAATTGAAATTTAAAAACAATGTCTTTACATATATATATGTAGATGTCATCCTGGATTCTCATTAAAGATATTCGATATTATTTTGATATATTCTCTGATAGGCCTATACACGATACAAAACCTTAACCATATAGATATAGATAGATACATACATAGATCTAGATAGATACATACATAGATATAGATAGATACATACATAGATATAGATAGATACATACATAAAAAACATAAAATGCTTTATCGAGAAGGTTCAAACCTTTATAGATTTAATTTTGTCCCGAGCTTTAAATAATAATAATCTAAAAAGCCGAAAACCTTCGAGATAAAAAGAAAATTTAAGTCCAAAAACATTATAGAACGTCGTGCCAAAATAATAGTGTTATAGGTAATTTTATGAAACGTTTGTGAACTTGTCTTATTTCAATGGCTGTTTCTAGATCAAATAATCTTTGAAACAAAGCAAAAGTCCAAATATAAAGTTGATTTCCATTTTATTTTCATTTCAATTAAAAAAAATATTTTGGAAATATCCTAAAATTTTTGGAGAAAATCCGTGAACCAATCAAAACTTAGCTAATTTAACACTATAGCACGATGATTTTTTTTATAGCACGTTCATTATGAAATCACGATAAAGTGAGTAATAATGATAAAGTACACTATTGCTTCATAAACAGAAAAAGAAGCTAGAATATAAAAAATGCTAGAAACATAAAAAGAAGCTAGACACATTAAAAGAAATAGAGATGCTGAAGGATGTGAAGATAGATGGATAGATATTTAGCAACCATTCATAAGAAGTGAGTTCTACACAATCTGTGCACAGTGGGCCTAATCTACAAGATTGGACCCCTGCTGGCTTCTTCGTCTTTTTACCTCACATTTTATCCTAGTCATACACACACTGCACAATGTACTGCAGTACTGTACTGTATATAGATTAGACGAGTTTAGAACGAGGAATAAACACGTACACTGACCCGTCCTTGTTTTAGAACAAGGAATAGACACAAGGAACCTTCCTTGATTCAGAACAAGGGAATACACAAGGATCCTTCCCTGATTAAGAACATGGAATATACACAAGGATCTTTCCTTGGATCAGAACAAGGAATATACACAAGTACCCTTCCATAGTTAAGAACAAGGAATTTACACAGAGAACCTTTCTTTGGTTCAGAACAAGGAATAATCACAATGAACCATCCTTGGTTCAGAAGAAGGAATATACACAAGGAATCATCCTTGGTTCAGAACAAGTAATATACACAAGGAACCTTCCTTGGTTCGAAACAAGGAATATACAAACGGAACCTTCCTTGGTTTAGAACAAAGAATATACGCAAGGAACATTCCTTGGTTCAGAACAAGAAATGTACACAAGGAACCTTCCTTAGTTAAGAACAAGGAATAGACAGAAAAAGCTTTCCTTGGGTAAGAACAAAGAATATACGCAAGGAACCTTCCTTGGTTCAGAACAAGGAATAAACACAAGGAATCTTTCATAGTTCAGAACAAAGAATATACACAAAGAACCTTCCTTGGGTGAGAACAAAGAATATACGCAAGGAACCTTCCTTGGATCAGAACAAGGAAATACACAAGGAACCGGCTTGGTTCAGAACAAGTAATATATACAAGGAACCTTCCTCGGGTGAGAACAGAGAAAATACGCAAGGAACCTTCCTTGGATCAGAACAAGGAATATACACAAGGAACCGGCTTGGTTCAATACAAGGAATGTGTGTGCAAGGAATCTTTGATCCCAAATATAGTGTTCTGCATTATTATGATATTTTTATTAACAAAAATGAGCAGCATTGAGTTTATACACATTGCTCCCAGAAACTGCGATGTACTTTTGTTGTGTTACCCAATTATTACTATTGTATGGATTTAGATTTTCAAATAAGCCATCAAAGGGTTGCCTGGCTGATTCACAACGGAACCCATAGATAAATAAATAAACAACGGAACCCATAGATAAATAAATAAACAACGGAACCACTTTATTGAACAATGGAGAGGAAATCGTCGTTTCCTCTTGAAAAGTGTTGAATTGTGACAATATCCTACAGTGATAACCAAAAAACTCTGGAATAGGGAGAAGACGTTAGAGTAAAAGTAAAGTGTATTTGATGGCGTTGCATAGCATTCAGTTTACAGTCTCTTATATTAATTAGACTAATTAAACTCATAACGTGAGTTAAAAGTCGTCTTCATATTCCAGAGTATTCTGGTTCTAATTGTGTAAAAACAAAATTGTTACTTCAGCTAATGAACCGCAGATGAAAAATTATCAATGTATTCAGAAAAAAACCGATGTGAGTCGGGTGTTCGGATGTGTCACTCTAGGGGTAGCTTTAGTATAAATTAGATAACCAAAAAAGACAAAAATGTCTTATAAAAAAATCTCGAAATTAACCTTTAAATGACCGCTCGTATTAATCTTTAATCTTTAAACATTTTGCAATAAAAAATAGATAAATAAATAAATGACAGTTATTACACGTTTTTACCGTATGTAGCCCATAGTTTTGTGGGTTGTGTCATTTGATTTCTCAGAACCGCCCACTGTGCAAAGTTCAATATGTCCTACAGTTTCTCAGAACCGCCCATTGTGGTGAATTCTTGTCGCATGAATCCTAGTGTTGAATGATTCACGCAGTTTAGATTTGAACGCCGGTTAGTGCGCGATAAACGCGCGCAATATTCAGGGTCTTCAGTTCATAGTTGTTCTTTGGGAATGGTGCAAGACACAGTGAGCATCATAACTACAGAAAGTCACAAATGGATAAAGATTTAAAACTAAAATGGAAATTTCTAAATGTTTAAAAAAATTGTAGATGTTAAATCAAAATCAGAAAGGAACGTGATATCCAACAGTATCCTTTATATTGTTTTGCCATACGAAAATTAATATTCCCGGCAGTATTTAATTTTAAGCAAGAAAGAAAAGGATATCCCCGTAATTCTTGAAACCTTTAAAGGGCATGCCTAGGGTTTCCAATCACGATTCCGTTGTGCGCAACTGTTCTCGAATTGCACGCAATTTTGCGGAATTGCGCGCAAGTAAAATTCACTTGCGTTGGAAAGCCTAGCATACCAAACCATAAATCGGGAGGGGTGCCATTCTATCCTTTCATTTATAAACATTTCTTTTTACAATTCAGATGGATTTGTGAGTAAATATTTTAACTTCTATTTAACCGGTTCAAATTTTGGTTTTCACGCTGAATCTATCCGTTGGGGTGAAACAGAAATTATTGAAACGAATTTCCCGTGAAGAATCTGATTGATTGCTCAAATCACTGCGCGCCATCTTGAATTTGGAATGTTGGAAGATTTTCAGAGAATTCTTAAATATTTAAATATTTTCAGAAAATTTTGATTTTAAATCCGAGTAAATAGGAAAATGGAAGCAAATCTTCAATTGAACCAAGATCAGGTAAAATAAATTTTAAAATATAATTTTAACTAGTTTAAGCTGTTGTCATGAAAAATGGGAGGTTAACCAGCCAAAATTAATCTGAAATAAAGAGATCTATATTCTAAATAACCACCCCCCCCCCCCCC